AATGATGATTTCTAAAACAATAAAGCAGATGATGATTTCTAAGACAATAAGGCAAATGATGATTTCTAAAACAATAAAGCAGATGATGATTTCTAAGACAATAAGGCAAATGATGATTTCTAAAACAATAAAGCAGATGATGATTTCTAAGACAATAAGGCAAATGATGATTTTCAAAGCAATAAAGCAAGTTATGATTTGTAATTTTTTGAAATCATAATTCGAAAGATGATAAATACAAAATGAGCTTATCATTAATCAATTATTATCTAATCTGATTGTATGAAAAATAATATTATATCATTTTCCTTTAGATTCAACAAACTAAACCGAACGATTTGATCATTTTGAATTAAAATAATAAATACTTTTTTTTTTAAATAAAATAAATTCATTAATTTTAATAATAACCATTGATTCAATTGGCTAATTTTAGGTAAGCTAATATGTATTAATTTTGAAATAATTATCATTAATATCACATATCCGATTCACAATGATTATTGATTAGTTTGGAAAAAGAATAATGATTTTTGATCAGTTTAAGTAGGTATAATGATTATTGATTAGTTTGAGTAAGTATAATTGAATGCATTGAAGAAATTTAACAAATTATTACTCGGTTAGCTTAGGTAATTTTTATTGATTACCAGTGATAGCTATTATTGATTAAATTGGGTAATAATTATTATTGATGCTGGATAAATAGCATTGAGAAATGATTTGAAAAATTAATGCTAATAGGTAAAACGAGTAAATGCCACGATGTAATACGTGAAACTTCATATAACACGTTTCACGCAACCTATCTATTCGTCAGTTCTTCTGATGAACTATGTTAATACAATTAAAAGTGTAAAAATTAAAGACGAACTTTCATGTAACATTTAAGTAACATATAAATTACACGTTTAAGTAACATGGATAGTAACGTAAATATTAAAGTTTAACAAAAGTTACGTACGTGTATTGATATACGCTGACATTTGCGCCCCTATTAAATTGCTAAAGTAAATGATTTATCTGAAAAATTACGCAATTTTTGAAAGATATAAACGTTTGAATTAAAAAAAAAAAGTTTAAAGAATTAGATAAAGAAAAATACTGTTTCATTTGATGAGATAGCAGAGATTACTCGGGCACTGAATAAATATCATGTAGTATCAGTGATGGAAAGATTTTAAAAAGACTGTAATAAAAAAAGAGAGAGCAGTAATTGATAAAGTTAACAGAGATAATACAATTTGCTGAATTAAAAAAAAAAAAAGTAGTAATTGAACTATAAACTGTTAAAAGTTGTCCATTGGGTTTGGTTACGAGTTGCGGCGTGGAAGGGAAGTTGCGTAAGATTGGAGGTATATTTACGTATGCGTTGACGTAGATCACGTAACACTGATTACATGCTAAATTACGCGCTAGACGTGTTAGATTACATCACCATTCGTTTACGTTTGCTAGTAATTGTTGACGCATTTTACGTTTGCTAATAATTATTGATGCGTATCGTAAATAATGTAACGTACGTGTTAAAGTGTATTAGCATTAATACATATATATTAACTCATGTAATTGATGACTTTCACGTTTGCATAATATCTCATTTCTGTTAATTTGCAAACTTTTTTTTCTTCTCAGGATATTGTGACGCTACCAAATCATCGACAAAATGTGGCAAATGTTTATCGGTTTGTTTTTTTTATTTTATTGTTAGAAGGTTGGAAATATTAAAAAAAAAAAAAGTTTGGTGTTATCTTCGTAGCATATCAAATGAAGAAAGATCGAATAAAGAAAACTGATAAATACTTTTATAAAAAATTTTTTTCCTTCGTTTATTCTGTTAAGATGTTTTAATTTTACCTCCGCTTTTAAATTCTGTCTTGGTTTTATATCTTTCTTTTTTTTTCCAATATAAGTAGGTTAGGTGTTGATTTATAGCTTTATCTTTCAAATTCTTCCTTTTTTTACTTTCCTTTTCCTTTTTTTCTTCATTTACTTTTTTTTTTCATTTTCTTTTTTTCCATTATACTTCCTTTTTTTTTATACTTTCTTTTTTCATTATAAATAGCTCGGATGTTGATGTGTGATAACTTTGGCCGTTTGTTACGATTGGAATGAAAAGCTGAAGTTAGCAGTCAGTATTTTTACAACATAATATAAATAATGTAATAAACGAAATTTATGCAAGGCATAGTTTAGCATATGAAATTAAAATTATTATACAATTCGTGAAGTCTCATGGAGAGATTTTGGTCTGAATTAAATCTTAAGTTAGTATTTGTTTACAAAAATTAGTAAAAATTATGTGATATTTCCGTTTATGCATCTGATGCAAAAATCAAAGAGATTGAAACAGTAAAATAATTAAAAATTTAAAACAGTATGAATAAAAGTTCTGACAATGAACTGTAATATACCTGGTTATATCCTGTTGCCAAATATAATTTTAGAAGCTACAAAGGTTCAATATTTTGAATTTATAAAACTAGTCCGATTCATTGATTGTTCTTGCACTTTTTTTATTGCTTACTGACATTCTTATTTGTTTTTTCCCACTACATTATTTCAGCCAGATATTCAAGAGCCCTTGTTATGCCATTTGTGATTGTAATTGGTGCAGTTGGTTATTTCATAGAGCAAAAATTTTCTACTCCGAAGGAAATACCATATTTGGATGCATCGATAAAAGAAGGACGTGAAAACCGACAAATGGAAATTGAACTAGATTCAGAGTACGGTACTCCAATGGATATCAGCAAAATTAGGAATAAAATAGTTCCTGAATCAAGCCTACTATTGAATACTGGTCGAAAAGGTTTGATTGATAATGAAAGCTGTAGTTAAGCATTTCACTGTAGCAATAACAATGGTGACGAATATTTTAAAATATGTCGCGTATTGTTTTCTGCATCGTTTTGGATAAAGAGCATATTTCTGCTCGTGAAAAAATTATATCGATCAATAATAGAGCCTATTATTTTTCTTATCTGTTTTTCTAATCATTTACTATTCCTAAATATCAATTTAATAATTTCTTGAATTGTCATGTATTGTTCTTGGGTTGGACTAAGCCTTAAATTTTTGCAATAATTTTTATTTATCCTTAATTTTTCATTCTAATTCATATGCTTATGCATCTATCATAATTATGTTTTGTACAAAGATGCTCAGGAAAGTAGTCATATTTAAGATACAAAAAGATATTATCCGATGTATGTGCATTTATAATAGATTTAAACCAGTGCATTCTCTTTGTTTGTTCGTTATCTATTGTTTATATTTATTGTGTGTTTGAAGGATTCATAAAAATTTATTACCATTAGACGATGCGGTCAATCATAACCGTTTTGCCCGGAAATCATTTACTGCAGATCTGAAATATTTCAATAAGTTGCAAACTTTATCACTAAATCAAAAATGAAATTTTCTGCATTCAATTAAAGCTTACTTTTAGAAGCTATTGACAAATTTGTTGAATTGATTTTCCAAGTAATGGGTTGGAAAATTGTTTGTTTGGTAGACTTCACGAAACCTTATTTACTTTGTAAAGGATTAATATTCGATATCATTATTCAAAGAAAACGGTTTGCATCTTATATCCAAAGGTTAGTCTATTTGATTTTCCTGTGCATTCATGATTTAATTTATTTGGATCATAAACCTGATTCTTTTTGGAAGAACACCTTCAGAACACCGATTTAGACAAATGAGGCTCAGTTTTTTCCTCTTTTTTATTTTTTGTCACATAGTGATGGACTTTTAGATGAAAACCATATTTAGACTTTCACTAATTATTGTTCCTGTCATTGTTCGTTAGCAATATTTTATCGCTTTCTTTCTCTTATTGTCAGTATTTTATGAAACGAAATCACTACGACGTGTTGGGTATTCCATATGATGCAACGGATGAAGAAATAAAGAATGCCTTCGTTGAAAAATCTCAGCAAGTAAGCTTTAAGTTTTTTTTCCTTTTTTAAATCATCTTGTAAGCAATGATGGAAAATGGACTATAAGAAATCTGCAGTTTCTTCTGAACTTTAGGGAAGTTGATTTCATTGTTAAATATTTGTTCTTATAATATTTTGCAATAATGGAAAATATTGCAATAATGGAACGTCCATATGGTTATTTATTGATATTAATTTGTTAGCTTAAATTTTAAAATCTATGAGATCCGGACATGCATGCAAAATATTTTTTGATTTTTGAAGAATATATCTTGCTTCCAAAAATTTCTACATAGAATTTATTCACTTTTTGTTTTGTAAGTTCTGCGACTGAATTAATAAAATTATTTGCGAATATCAATCAGATGTATAGCAATCATAATGTCAGTCAGATGAAAGCCATCTAATAAGCATTTTGATTATTTGATTGTTGATATGATTTAACTGATACTATATTTGATAAACCATATTTTTTAATTAAATAAACAATATGTCTAAAAAAACTCAAAAACTTTCTTTATTTCGAATTTATTTGAAATAAAAAGTACCTCGTACAGAAAACAAAAAACTTTTGTACCAGTAGTGATTACGAATTTTTCTCTATATTTCATTGTTACTAGCTGCATCCAGATGGCAAAAATTTCAATCCAGAAATGGTACGATCCATGGATAAATATGCACCAGATCTTACGGAACAGTTCATGCAACTAAAAACTGCTTATGACATTTTACGACGTTCAGCACGAAGAAAGCAATATGATCAAATGATGGGAATTGAACGTTTAAAGCGTTTCAATAGAGTAAGATTCATTTTAATAATGTGTATTTGCGTTTCAGTGTTAATTAAAATTGGAAATATCGAGTAGTTAATTTAATTTGAAATATGTTCATAGTTTTGTAGAAGTAATATAGACTTAGTTTTATTTTCCAGCGATCAGAAAAGTTAAACCTTTACGATATTGAAGACAAAAAGCCCAGTTTCATGACAAATTTTGGTATGTCTGCGCGAGAATTCATCAGCGGTGATTTCTATGTGCGATTAGCAAGTAATGCGGACAATTCACTGATGTATTTCACCGTCGGCAGTGTAGTAATCATTTTGATACTACAAAAGTTATATGTCTGGTAATGTTTTTCTGGATCCAATGTAAAGCGAAATTAATGATATCGGTGCAGTGGGATGTAGATGATTAATGGAAAATTAAGGAGAACTTATCATTTGTCTATAACACCAGTTTTCGATAACTGATAGGTTTCTCATTTTTAGCGTTTGTAATCTTGACGATCATCTGTCAAGTGTAGTATTGTATGCCATTACGCCTGAGTAACATCTATATCGGGTTAGGACATTTATATCTTAGTAATTTTGGTAATCATAAGGAACTTGTCGATTGTTCTCAGATGATAGTAATTTTCTTTTTGTAGGTATCTAGAACATACCTATGATGAGAAATCTGATACGAAGGAACTTGAGGAAAAAACATGACGTAGAAATACAAAACGGTGTTCGAATGTTGAACTTCTCAACTTCTAACGGTAATATAAATGATGGTCGAACAAAACTTTTCAAGATTCATCTCTATTTGATTATACCAATGGAAATTGTTAAAATGAATTCAAAACAGAGAATTTACGAGATCTTCCATTTTTTCTTCGTGAATTTTATTAAGAAGGGACAAATATTCGTAAGATTTATGTCATTGTATGTAGCCATTTCTGAAATTTCAGAATTGTATTTCAAAAGGTATAAAGTACGAAGTGCTGAAAGTTCGAATTCCAAGATTACTGAACGGGTTTTCTTTTTTTGATAAGAATGAGCGTATCAGAAGTTGATGAGCAAAAGAAAAATGTATCATGGATGGAATCTTAAATTTTTGAGAGAACAGCTTGTACCGGCAGTTTTCTTACCTGAAATGATAGGATGGATAATCTATATATTCATGAAGATTTAAGAAAATGCATTAAATGTTTCTGTCCCTAAAGAACAACTAAGAATAAAACGAAAGATCTAATAAGAGCTTTTTGATATATTATTAGAAGTCCGAAAAAATTACTCCGCGTCTTTGAGAAAAAAAGCAATAAACAGGATGCGAAACGGAATTGATTGGTTTATCTTTTTTCGCTTTTTCGTCCTATATTTAAGCAAATCGTTAACAGCTACGTGACACTTTTTAATATTTTTCTTGAATAAATTTCGTAAATTGGAAGAATTTCATCCTAATTCATATTGAAATGAATCTTGATGTAGTATTTATTCAAGAAAATCCAAAAAAAGAGGTTGAGTTCTATTCTTACGAATGACTGCATGAATTGTTTTGGAATTTGCTTGAATTTTAAATTTATTTATTTCCTTTTCTGTTTAATTTTTTACAACTTTTTTTGACGTCAGTTTGAATATCTTCCAATTTTATTTCATAATATTTTTATTGCGATCTTTAAAACAGGGTAGTACTTTTGTTTGTTGTACAAAATGGATAGTACTTTGGGTAGTACTTTTATCCAGCATCTAGTAATCTCTTCTCTACTGTAACTGTCTTTAATAACTCTTTAAATCGTTCAATGTGCATGTAGTGGTTAGGATTGTTGGTTGAAGAGACATTGTCAAATTTTAAAATTGTATCTTATTTCAGTATCTTTGGTAGTATTTAAATTTGAATTCATTTCAAGAATTAATTTGGATACTTATTCTCAACTGACTGAAACTAATTTGATGATGCATAGAAAGTAGTCAGTATATGGATCTTTCTTTGTAAAATTTGTTGAATCAATAATGCTAATCTATATTTCTGTATACGAAAACATTGGGTTAAACGATGGATTAATTATTGATTTAGCCAAAAATATCTCCCTTAATTAACAAAAATTAATTATCTGCAATTTTAAGCATGTTTTTTCAAGAGTCTTTTTTAGGATAAAATTGTTAATCAAAAGTGTAGTTACTAGATAACTAGCTGTTAGAAAATTGTCGGAAAAATTCATGTATCGAAATTTTGTAAAACTGCAACGTGAAAAAATGAAACTATTGAGAAATACAATTGCAACATGCAAATATTTCGCTTTCCGATAGTTTTGTTTTGAAGTTTAATTTTTGAATTAAACTTGTTTAAAAAAAAAGAAAAGAAAACCGTATTACGATATTGTATAACTTGTTCTGAATTGACTAGTGCATTTTTGGATATTTGAATAAGTTAATTTGAAATTCTTTTCGCTTGATTTGATTTGAATTCTTTATGATAAATGAATTGTTTCTTTTTTTTTTTTGTATTATCATTTATCTGTTATAATTTTAGTATTATTTGTACAACAATTAAAGATGCATTATGAAATAAATAGTTGAGTTATAATAGTATACATATATGAAATAAATAGGTTGAAATAATTATAAAGTATATATGTTCCTTTACTTCTTTCTCCTTATTTGCTCAAATAAATCTGCCATAGTTGGACGTTTTCATGGTGTTGTTGAACTTGGTTATTTGGTTTAAAAACCATAAAATGATACAATTTTGAATATTTTTTTGAAAATGAAAGATTTTCTAGCTGCTATGTCATCTTTTACCATCATTTCATCAAATTTCGTTTCATTTTTTTCTTTTCTTTTATTGAAATTATTCGTTTTATTTTTTGTCTTTCTTTCACGAAAATCGAAATTATTCCACTTATTGTTTTACTTTAACCGCTGCACTTTACTTTGCTTAACCTTATCCTACTTTACTCAGTTTTTTACTTTACTCATTATCATCCGTTGATTTATATGTTCGAATTTATAATTATTCATTTCTAATTTGTTTTTTTTTTTTACAAATCTTTTCCTTATTCAATAATAAGGAAAAAATTGTTAACTTCTTTATTGTTTATTTGTGTAAGTTTGATCTTGTTTTATTTTTTCCACTCATATTCTTTTACTTATTTGCCAATTTACATGTTTATTTTGGCAACTGTTCGAAATCAAATAATTCATTAATTAAACTTATCATCAGGTGGATTACATTGAAGAATGATAAAATTTATCATTTCCTAAAAGGCGATGATATCCGTCCATGCTTTTTTGGTAATTTATTTGTTTTCAACTTGATTTTGCTTTTTCGACATTGTCATTAGAATAACTGAAAAAGTTCGTTTCATGTACTCGATGTCTTACGAAGAAAATTATTCAAGTTCCATCCGTAAGAAAATTAGAAATGTTTTGTTCTACAATTTATTCCTTTCGAATTCCTTTCAAATATTCCTAGTTTTAGTCTTTGTAAATTTCGGAAGAAAGTAATAAGTATGTGCAATTAATTAGTTATTAATTAAAATTGACCTTTAAAATTCATCCATTGTGTCATGAAGAATGCAAATTTATTTTCATAAAGTGACTATCATTGTTTGAATTTTAGATAGTTTTAATAGATCATACTTTACAATCGATTATTGCAAATCTTTTTCTTTATTGTTATTCTATGCGTGATCGACAGCATATCTTTTTCGGTTTTTTTTTTCCCCTATTTACCATCTCTTTAATACATTGCGTTTTCACCAACTTATTGGCACAGTAATGTCATACCAAGACCCAAGTATGTAATTTGCATAACTAACCCATAATCTTTTCTGTATTTTCTACCTTTTTCACTCTTCATAAAAGTTTAATGTCGATTAGTTCGCTGTTATATGAAATGTTTAATTGCAGGTTAAATTATTGTTCCATTTACTACTTGAGGTTTTACTACTTACTTAATTTAATTAATTTTCTTCAAATGTGTATGCCACGTCTAAGGCCATCGGTTCGACGGCCTCTATATCACTCTTCGTGTCTTTTGCTTAGCATGCACCAAAATATTTCCGGGAAAAATTACTACGATGTATTGGGAGTGAAACGAGATGCTTCGATTGCTGAAATTAAAAGCGCTTTTTATAAACTGTCAAAAATGGTATGATTATTTCAATTTTATTATAATTTTTCCAAAATGGAAGCTTTCATATTTTATTCATTTCTTTAAAACATGCTATGTATGTGTTTATTATAATAATAATAATTATTATTATTATTGTCATTATTATCAATTATTATCATTATTATCAATTATTATCATTATTATCAATTATTATTGTTATTATCAATTATTATTATTATT